ATCACAGGACAGCACAGGGGCATTGGTGGGGTTATGGCCAGAGTTGAGCCCAGGCCTTTCCTGGGGGACGCACACTCGTGGGGAAACTGAGGGAGGAAGAGAAGTTATGGAGTGGTAATGAATCAACCTCACACCCTGGCCGATGACATTCTGGGGACCCCCAAGGGTCACGCCTCCCTTCATTCCTCACATTCTGACCCCAGGACCTTTCCCTGAGCCTTCTGGAACCATCGATCCACCGATGAATGCTATGAACCGGAAGTTCCGTCCCTGCTGTGATTGGTGTCTCCAGCCAACTCTGTGGCTCTTGTTTGCTTATTTGTTAACTATTTCTACTCCCAGGATGTGAAGCCCCTGGCTGAGCCCCAGCCTGGCCAGCATCGTGCTGCCCTTGCTCCCTGGGAGCTTCGACCACTCAGCCAGGCCTGCCAAGGCCGGGAGAGGAGGCAGGTGTGGTGATATATTGTGTACCCCAATGAAGCTTGCCTGGGGATCAGAGGACAGATCACTATATTAGACACAGAGGTCAGGCAGTGGTGGCACACCCTTTAATCCTAGCATTCAGGAGGCAGAGATCCATCCGGACCGCTGTGAGTTCAGGACCACACTGGGAACAGAGCCAGGTGTGGTGGCACATGCCTTTAATCCCAGCACTAGGAAGGAAGGAAGACGGCAGGGCCCAGAAAGGTACATTAGTCATGAGTAAACAGGAAGTCTCTCTCGAGGCTGAGGATTTCATAGAGGTAAGAATGTGGCGGGCTTTTGTTGCTCTGGTTTTTCAGCTTTCACCCCAATATCTGGCTCTGGGTTTTTTATTAACACAACCACTTAGCAATTCATGTTCCAGCTCGGAGTGCCGGAGGTCCCTGGGCTCAGCCAGCGCGACAGGGACAGGACGAGCACATGGGTGAGAAGTAACTCCCTGGGCAGAGCTTTGCCGTGGCCTCCTCCAGGGTGTGACCAGCTCTGGAGATGACCTAGAAGAACGGAAGGCCACAACACGCCAAGCCTCTCAGGCAAGCGGGGTCCCCGCCCACCCTCACACACCCATACATGTCCATCTGTCTGTCTTTTAGAGACAGCATGGAGGAGGCAAGAGACAGCTTGGCAGCTAAGAGAACCAGCTGCTCTCTCAGGAACCCGGGGTTGATTCCCAGCACCCACATGGCTGTTCACAACCACCTGTAACTCCAGTTCCAGGGGATCCAGCGTCCTCTTCTGGCCTCCAAGGACACCAGGCACACAAGGTACACTGGCATGCATGCAGGCAAATCACTCATATGTATACATATATATATGTATATATGTATATATATATGTGTGTATATATATAAAATTTATTATATACACATTTATATATATGCATTTTATATATATATATATAAATTTTTAAAAGATCAGGGTCACAAATCACCAGACCGATGGTTTCAGGTTTTGAGCAAGGTAGACTTCACCTCTGCACACAAATGTTCAGTGTCCCGGAGCTAGTGAGCCGGCCCAGGCCATGGCTGCTGCCTTCCACCTCAGCCTTCTCACTGGCTGACAGTGGGCACAGAAGGACAAGGGTCCAGGAGATGGCGGCCACCGACAGCCAGGATTCCAGAGGAGCTTCCGACAGGCACACGCACGCCGCACCTGACGGAGACTGGAGTCCTCACACACCCGGTTTTATTCACATTCTTTGCTTGGCAGTTGCTGGAAGGCTCTGGACTGGGCCTCTAATGGAGAAACCGAGTCAGGGCTTCGGCTGTGACTAAGTGTGAGGGGGGGCTCCTCCTTGCCGTGTGGACCATTCTTCCATTGACCGAGGGCCGGCCGTTCACCTCTGAGCTTCTTCCTAAGTGAGGGCACTGAGATCCTGGGGCCCTGGAAACGGCGGTGTCCCTCCAGCATGACATGGGATCCACTGTTCCCAGCTAAAATCATGTAATGCCGATCTTCCGTCCGAGCTGTCTTCCTGGTGGCCATGACTGTCTCCACACCCCAGACTGCCTCTGGCTGTAAGAAATGCAGTAGTTCCTGTCTACAGTAGTGCTGATGTCACACTCAGCCTGGCCCCGACAGGGCCATGCTTAGGCTTCGAGCTGTGGTGTGTCTGGGGCTCCCCAAGATGCTCCTATAGCACCTACCTAAATGTGGGGGTCAGATGAGCCCCCTGCAGTAATGGCTCCTTCTTTCTGTGGGAGGGGCCTTGAGGCATGAAGGGGTGTCCGAATGCCACAGTGGAAGGGACACGAAGTGGACTAATGTCCGAGTGTCCTCCGGTCTACCAGCAGGGGCCTCCGGGTCCTGCCAGAAAGCTGCTCACGTGACCACCGGGTTAATGCGTGGCCAATTCCTTGCAGGATTTTTGGGGCGTACAGAAAAATAGGGGACACTAAAGTTGTCTGCCAGGAAACCCCATTTATTCCTGTCAGGTCAGGACTCACACCCAAAGGCCCCAAGTTCTGAGGTTCATTTTAGTGGTGTTGGAATTTAGGGCCACCCTGCAAGGTGTCCTGCTCTTTAGTGAAATTGCCAGTGTGGGTAAAACGCTCCATGTCCTGGCCTCAAGAGGTGGGTCTGTTACGTTTGACCATCCATGAGTTTGATTTTCTCAAGACAGGGTTTCTCCATGTAGACCAGGCTGGCCTTGAACTCATAGATATCCACCTGCCTCTGTGCCTGCCACCCCCCCACCCCCCCAGTGCTGGGATTAAAGGTGTGCGCCACTACTGCCCAGTTTATTGTGTCTTGCTAATCTGTGTCCCGTAGTCAGTTTGTCAGCCTGTGACACTGAGAGGACCAGGGCCGCGAATGCCCACAGGTGGGGTGGCCAGCCTTGGGTGACAAACCCAAATGACAAGCCTTGGCATGTATAGATAGACCCATAACCCCAACGTTTGGGTCAGGACCCCCACCGTGATGATGGCACCACACTCACGTATGTATGGGAAGCAGGGCTTGGGTGTGTGCCAGGCTGGGCGTGAACGACCTGCATTGGGCTGCAGGAACCGGTTTCTGACCAACCACCTGCTTTCCCTCCAAGCCAAGTTGGCAGTGTCCTTGGGGTGGTGGGGACAAAGGAACTGACGCTTTCTGGACAGATCTGGCTCCTTTTTCTTGATACCCCAGCTTTGGAATTCCTACGGTTGGCTGCAGCTCAGGGCAGCCTGAGGGGCTCTGCCTTCAGCTCACATCTCAGGGAAGTTCAGATCTCCACAGTGGCCGCTCCCTGAAGTTCTAGAAACATCATTCTTCTTGGAGGACGGTGAGGGTTGGGATTCCTGCTTCTGGCTTCCTTGGGTCAGGGTAGCTTGTTCGTAGGGGTCAAAAGTTGCCTGGTCATCCAGTGCTCCCATGGTCCTGACCCACGAGAGCCACAGTCGTCAGGGTCACAGGTATTTGGGAAGGGCTTCCTGGCCACCTAATGTGCATTGTGGACACAGTAAGAAAGGGACACAAGCCTAGTTACCCATGACTTGTCTCTGTAAAAGGAGACCCATGGGTCACATTACCACAGCATATTCTGCCCTGGCATAGGCCATGATGTCAACAAGCTGGTCCCCAACAGTCTGCCTGGTTGTGGGCTCCAGTGTTAGGCTGCTGTGGTCTGCTACCGTCTCCCACAGTGGCCAAACCAACTTCATATTCAGGAGCCTTGGAGCATCCTGAACCACCTCGCCTCTCTCCTGCTGTCCCAGGTCTGGTAATTCTCTGACCATCGGGGACCTCACGCATGCGGTGGCTTCCGTGGCAACGATCCCTGGGTCATGGTAATCTCGCCTCTGAACAAGGCAGTCAGTCCTCTGGTCAGGTCCTGGTCTGCCCAGCCCCGGCCACGGGAACCTCCCTGGGTGTGTCTTCTGTGTTGGACCTCCTGGGTTTGGTTAGCGTAGCATCAATGTAGCAGTCTCTTCTAGTTGCTGGTGCTGACTCCAGAGAAGTCTTTGGACTTGCAGATGTCTCCCTGGGCCTGGTTGACAAAGGCTGATTCCAAGTCACTTCTAAGCCGAAGGGGGTGTTAAAGTCGGGGTTCCCCACAGCTTCTCAGAAACCACTTGGGCCCTGATCCCTAGAGCACCTGAGGCCTTCCTCAAGTTCAAGGCCTCTCGTCAACCTTCCTCTTGGGGGCCAGGCATGGTGGTGCACTCAGGAGGCAGAGGCAGGCAGAGTCCAAGGCCAGCCTGGTCTACAGAGCGAGTTTGAGGACAGTCAGGGCTACACAGAGAAAATGCTGTCTTGAAAAACCAAAACCAAAGCCAGCCACCATTATAGGGTTCTGGCGAGGGTCCTCAGGGGAACTAGCTCTGGGTGTAAGCCTGGATATCCACTGTCCCTGCCTGGTAGTGCTCCAGCCATTTCAAAGCAGCCTGAGTAGTTCCTTCAGTGCCCGACTTTCAGGAGAGGCTACCGGCAGCCATCCACGGAGGCTAGTGGTCCGGGAGGGTGGGCTGCATCGTATCAGTCAGAGCCCAAGGTTCTGGGTGGATAAGGGTCTCATTTCCAGCTCAGGAGCTCTGAGTTGGTGGGCGACTGGTACATGAAGGTGCGTTGGGCCCCCGCACCTGGCTGTCATGATGTAGTACAGGGTGAGCTTCCCCAAGTGGCGTTTGCAAGGCACCTTGGCATGTATAGAGAGTTAGGACAGGCAGCTCAGGCCTCTGTCAGGGTCCAGGGCTCTCAGAGGCTCCATGAGGGGTGTGGTGGCCTCTGGCATGGCTCCAGCTGCAACAGGTGCAGAGGACGCAGTGGGCCATCTCCCGTTCCCCAGACAGCGGAGCCTGCTGGGTCTGCCTTTTGATGAGGGCGTCTCGGGGTCACCATGAATCTACAGTTCTCCTGCAGACAGGTCTGCCGCGATGGCCAACCTCAGATCCGTCAGAGCATCCTGGGTCCCCAGGACTCTAAAAACTCTAAACTAGCTCTTTATCTAGAGGCTCCTTGGGGGCCACCCCGCCCTGATGGAGTCAACAACATAGGTCCCTGAACACAGCTGTATGAAACTTGGCATTTTAAAATTTTATTTTATGGGTTTTACTTCTATACAGGTCTGTGTGCCTTGTGTGTGCAGTGCCTGCTGAGGCCAGAAGAGGGCGTTGGATCGCCTGGAACTGGAGTCACAGATGGTGTGAGCAGCCATGTGGGTGCTGGGCACCGAATCCACCTCCTCTGGAAGGGCAAGTGCCCTTTAACCGCGGAGATCTCTCCAGCTGTGTCTCCATGGTGCTGCTAACACTCCGTGGAGTGGGTTACATTGCTGGTCACACGTGGGGAGGGACAGGGAAGGAACCAGCCTGCACTTGCTCTCCAGCCACACTTCTGGTCCTGGTCATAGCATCTGCTGGGACCCCAATGTCAGACCTGCTCCCAAGAGGCCCCTCTAAGCTGTATGAGCCTCAGCACCCATCCTTGGTCAAGCTAGGGCCAACCCACCTTTTACTACATACACAGCACACACACACACACACACACACACACACACACACACACACACACACCGCCATGGATGCACAGCCTCTCAGGGGCAGGCTTACCAGTGCCCACCCGGCTCTCACCAGTCGCTCTTGCCTGGTTCCTGGGCCTCCCTGGGATCCCTGTCCCGCTCACCAGGAGAGGTTACCTCTCCCGACTTCCCCAGTGAGTGTGGAGGTGAGCTCACAGTCTGTTTCCCAGAGGTGAGCAGCCAGGAAACGCTGCAGGACAGAGACCAGAGAGGCCGGGAGGCAGCGTTTTTTCACACCCCAAAGCCAAGCCGGGGCGCCAAGGGATGCAGAGCTGTACCTGTCCTCCTTAGTTCCCCTTACATGACAGCCCCATTGCCTCCCCCGCATGGACGCACGGTGCTCTGTGCCCAGGGCGGTGACACTCACGCAGGACACTCGGATGCTGACGAGGCCACGCCACTTTCCCTCTGTCCCGGGGCTGTCACAGGGCACCCTTCGGTGCCGAGGGATGAGTGCTGCTGCTCTCTCTCCACCTGAGGACGGGCTCACCCTGTCCTGGACGAGACCCTCCTCCTCCACGCTCCTGCCCAGATCTCACCAAAGGCACTTTTGAAAACAGACCCAGACCCGTCTTGGTCTTTCTGGTACCTAGAAGCCTTCAGTCCTAAAGGGCATCTCTACAGAGCCCAAGCCCAGTTCTCAGGGGGATTTCTCTCTGGTTCCATGAGATCTTTGTTTAATATTCTACGAAGTCCAAACACAGAGTTCAATTTTATTTAAAGTCTTTTTTTTTTTTTTTTTTTTTTTTTTCTCGAGACAGGGTTTCTCTGTGTAGCCCTGGCTTTCCTGGAACTCACTCTGTAGACCAGGCTGGCCTCGAACTCAGAGATCCACCTGCCTCTGCCTCCCAGTGCTGGGATTAAAGGCGTGCGCCACCATCACTACCCGGCTAAGATTTTTATTACTTTAAATTATGTGCACGTGCACATGTGTACGTGTGTGTTTGTGTGTGTACATGTGTGTGTGTGTGTGCACATGTGTGTGTGTGTGCACATGTGTGTGCTGGGAACTGAACCCGGGTCCTCTCCAAGAGCAGCCTGTGCTTTTACAGTCGGAGGCGGCTATACGGCCGGCGTGTTTGGTATTTTCCAGCAATAGGAAGGACGGAAGGAAGGAAGGGCGCACATCGCCATGCTGGGATACAGGGATAGTACGGTGACGGCAGAAGGTGCCCGTGGCCCCCCGGTCCTCTCCAGCACCCCAGGCTCAGAGCAGCCCGGCCTCGCTTGCCCGGGGTGCACTGGGGCCCCCCTCGCTGTTGGCGTCTTTGGCGGGCGAGACAGACAGCGCTGCCTCGAGGGGCCTTGGGCGGCTTGTGGCAGGCGTGGACCGGGGAGCTGGACCCTAACACGGCTCAAGCTACTCAAGGTCCCCGATGCGGCCGCAAGATCTACACGGGATTGGCTGCCTTGGGGAAAGGCGGGAAAGGAGGACAAAGGACGGTGAGGGAGGAGGGAGGAGGGGCTGGGGGCCGGGGCAGGAGTTCGGGCGCGCGACCCTGGGGATCCGGGTCACGTCCCGGCTCACGTGGGTCGTGCTGACGGGCGGACCGGGGCCTCGCCCCCCCCACGCGTGTTTCCGCACAGCTCTCCCGCCGCCCTCCCCGTTTCTCCGCAGCGCCCCTCCCCCAGCGCTGGGTTTGATTAGCAGCGGGCTGGGGCGGAGGGGGACGGGAGGAGGCGCAGCGGAGGCAGGGGGCTGTCGCCTACTGTAGGCTCGTTCTCTTCCCCCTTTCCAGGCTGCACGGCGCACCCGTGCCAGTGCGCAGCAAGGGAAACTGAGGCACAGGCTACACGAGAGTTGCGTTCTGAACACACACCAAAAAAACCCCAAGCAAACCCTAAATCATTTCGTCCCCGCCGGGGACCCGGGACTGGGAGCAGGGGGAGGGGGCAGAATGGGGCCTGTGCCTCGGTTTCCCCAGGGCGCGGGGGCCGAGCCCCCTGCCGCTGCCACCCTCTGAAGTTACCCAGGCCAGGCCCGGCTCCCGGCGCGCGGCTGGCGCATTGGTCCCCCGGTTCCTGGGGTCCCCAGTCTGTGCGCATCCTCGGGGCTCCCGGGAAGGCAGTCGGAGGGACCCCGGTTCTCCTCTCCGGCCCGGCGGCTCGTGCGGCTGTTGTCCCCTCCCCGCCCTCCCCAGCCTGCGCCACTCACACCCCCGGAAGCCGGGCACCGGCCTGCAGCCCCGTGGGTGGGGACGGGCCCAGGGCCTCCCGGGGGAGGAACTTCTCTCCAGTGGGGGCCTCGGCCCCGACCTTGTACCCCGGAGGTGGGCTGGGGTCAGATGGAGGCAAACGCATCCTCAGACGGTCCGACCTCACCCGAGGCTGCAGCAACCGAGTGCCCTGCTGTGCGCTGGCCCCATGCACCTAGCGATGTGTGCGGCTTGGGGTCCCCCTGTCCGGACACCGCTCTCTGTGAGGTCACCCTGGCCCTGGTCCCCAGCTCCGGTGTCTGTCTCTAGGCCTTGCATCCCTCTGATCCAAAGGGTACTTGGAAGCAAACTCAGAAGAGATGGGGCTTAATGAGCGCCGGGCGGTGGCGGCGCACGCCTTTACTCCCAGATCTCTCTGAGTTCGAGGCCAGCCTGGTCTATAGAATGAGATCCAGGGCTACGCAGAGAAACCCTGTCTCAAAGAAAAAAAAACAAAACAAAACCAAAACCAAAAACTTGTCTTCTGTGAAAGAGCCTAGAGGGCTTAAGGCCCTGGGCCCACTCACCCCCTCCGACAGGCCTTGTGGGAGGTAGGATGGCCAAGAAACAAAAAAGACTCCTGGACAGGGGCAGCTCCCGGGCCAGGGAGGCGGCAGGTGCGTCTCAGTGCTGCGCGCGCGGGTGGCGGCGGGGAGGGCTAGCCCCGGCGTCGGCAAAGGGCTAGCCCCGGCGTCGGCAAAGGGCTAGCCCCGGCGTCGGCAAAGGGCTAGCCCCGGCGTCGGCAAAGGGCTAGCCCCGGCGTCGGCACACATGCAGACCTGGGCCGGTGGGGAAGCCGAGGGCGCGCTGCGTTTCCTCTTTTTAAAGGGTTTACGCGGCTGGACGGAGCTGGCGGCGACCCAGAAACAGGACGTGGGTCCCGGCTGCGCAAACACCTGCGGTCGCAGTCCCCGGCGCCGGCGGAAGCAGCGGGAGGGGCCGGGAGGCCGCGGCCTTCCCCGTAACCCGACCCTCAGGAATGCGGCCGCCCCACGGGCCCAGCCACCTGGGGACCGTGCCCACAGTCTGCCCCCACCCGCCGGGGCAGTCCCCTGCCTCAGCCCCTCCCAGGGGCCGCCTTTGGGTCTTCCCGTTTCATGAAGCTGATGATCTTCACACTGAGCACAGGGACTGAGAGCCTGGGGATTCGAACCCAGGCTCCCGAGACGTCAGGCTCCGTGTGGGGGCCGCACGTCTGCAGCCGGGGCTGTGGCACCCTGGGCAGGTCATTTCCTTCCCCAGACACCGCCCAGGGAAGACAGAAAGCAAACAGCCCTGAGTGGGCACTGCCCCTGCGCAGCCCTTCCAGGGCAGGCACCAGGCGCCGGGCTCCGGTCCAACCCGCACCCCGACTTTCTGAGGCTTTGAAGGTTGAGTGGGAATATTTTAGGGAGCCTAAGCGCACCCAAGACTCGCCGTTTACATCTCTCCAAACAGCAAAATTAAACAGTGACTGATGGGGTGGCGAGGCGGCCCTGCCGGGAAAGGGGTTTTGCTGCCGAGCGGGGGCCTGAGACCCGCACACGGCAGAGAGCAGACCCTCAAGCTGTGGTCCTTCACCGGCCTCCGCATGCTCTCCCCACAGACACGCAATCCACGACACCGGGCAGTGGTGACGCACGTCTTTAATCCCAGCCTGCAGGAGCCAGGCGGGTCTGTGAGTTCGAGGCCAGCCTGGTCTACAGAGCGAGATCCAGGGCAGCCAGGGCGACACAGGGAAACCCGGTCTTGAAAAACAAGGAACTATGCAGCCGTAACTATTCCTCACAGTCTCCGTGTAACTACAGAACTGCTCCCGTGGCTGATAGCAAAGCAGGCTCACGGAAAGGTCCTCCACCAGCTCCAACCGGCGCCGCCTCCACAGGGCCAGCCCATCCCCCACGGCCAAGGCCAAGGCCCAAGGTCAGGGCGGAGCCTCTGGCGTCCCCAGCTCCGCACCGGCCCCGGGCAGGGGCGGGACTGGCGCCCCGGGCCGGCTGGCGGCGGGCCAGCAGCAGCAGCAGGCCCGGCCCGGGGGCCCAGCCTGGGATCTGCCGCGGAACGCCAGGCCCGGGGTGGAAAGGGTCTCGTGTGGCGCGGGGAGGCGCCGCCCCTCGTTCTGGACGATTCCTCCGCCACAACAGGGACTCCCAGCGGGGTGTGTGGCTCCCTGCGGCCGGGAAGGCTGGGTGTGCGGTGGCACCAGGTGGAGGCCTGAGGTGCCAAGGAGCTGGGTCGCCACCTGGTGCTCCCAGAGGTCACAGGTCAGGGGGCCCGAGTGTGCTGGGCCCGCCCCTCCCCCACCCCAGCCACCCCGGCGGGCACACCGTACTAATTAGGGGTAATTACCAGGCGGGATCTTTTCACCAGCTCCACTTGGGACGCACCCCAGGCCCTGGCAGGGCCAGGTCAGAACGTCGACCACCATGGCTGCCCAGAGGCTCGCTGGAGCGCTCAGGTTGGCTTTGTGGGGCACAGCTGTCTTCCCACTCAGAAAGTGGAGGCAGGGGATCAGCTCTGAAGTCTAGCCTGAGCTACAGGAAATTCTGGCTCAAAATAAACTCAGAAAACCCACAAGCTCAGCCCTGAACTTTCACGCCATGGTAAGGTGCCTAGGTTGTCACCCAGCACTTGATAAACTGAGGCAGATGATTGCCAGTTCGAGGCCAGCTTGGGTTACCACCTTTGCATGCCGGTCTTCCAGCATCGCCAGGCCGGTATCTGTAAATCCCAAACCAGCCAGGGCTGAAAGGGAGACCATCTCTCAAAACAGAAACCGTGTGGGGTGGTGGCGCACGCCTTTAATGCAGCACTCGGGAGGCAGAGGCAGGTGGATCTCTGTGAGTTCGAGGCCAGCCTGGGCTACAGAGTGAGATCCAGGACAGGCACCAAAAGCTGCACAGAGAAACTCTGTCTCGAAAGACAAACAAAAAACGCTCAAAACTCAAAAGAGCAAACCCGAGACCCAACTACCATGTGGGGATAAGGTGGCTAGGGCGGTCATTCCAGCAGCTGAGCGGAGGCAGGGGGTTGCCCTCAGTTCTTGGTGGGCTGGGGTATAGAGCAAATGCCTGTCCTAAAAGTCAAAATCAAGCTGGCAGTGGAGGTGTACACCTTTAATCCCAGCACTCGGGAGGCAGAGGCAGGCGGATCTCTGTGAGTTCGAGGCCAGCCTGGGCTACAGAGTGAGATCCAGGACAGCCTGGGCTACACAGAGAAACCCTGTCTTGAAAAAAACCAAAACAGTTAAAATCAAATGCATATTGGAAGCAAGGCCCAGTGGTAAACACCATCATCCAGGACCGGGAGGCTGAGGTTGGAGATTGTTCAGAAGTCAGTCTGGGCTACAGAGTGAGATCCCGTCTCAAAATACCCAAACCGGGCCGTGGGGGTGCGGGTGGGGGTGAGGGGTGGCCTGACAGTCTGAGCCCAGGAATCCCAGGGTGGAAGAGAACCAACCTGCTGGCCTCTGACCCCCACAGGTGCACATGCGAACACACACACACACACACACACACACACGCGCGCGCGCACACACACACACACGCGCGCGCGCGCGCGCACACACACACACGCACGCGCGCACACACACATGCACACACACGCGCGCGCGCGCACACACACACACACACACACACATGCACACACACAGAGTCCAATGTAAAACGAACCAAACCACAAACTTCATGCCGAGGTGAAGTGGCTCAGGCCTGCTATTGAAACACTTGGGAAGGTGAGGCAGGGGAATTAAAGTGAGTTCACGGTGAGCAGAAGTTAAAGGATGAGACCCTGTCTCAGAACAACCCAAAACTTAAACCCAAAACAAAGATTCAACTTCTTTTTCACAGATATTAGAAAGCCCGCTGAAGCTGGCGGCTGCCTGGAGCAGCCCCTCTGGAAAGGCAGGTTCCACTCCCCTGAGGGACCGAAGGGCAGGAAGCGCCCCAGCAGCCCGGGGGCTCCACGGCCCCGCCGCCCTCCCTCGTCCCTCCCCGCCCGCCCGCACCTGCCAGCCCGGAGCCCGGCCCCTCCGCGGGGGCGTGCCCGCTGGTGGGCGTGGCCTCGCGGAGGGCGTGGCTCCCGTGAGGTCCGGCCCATCACGCCACGGGAGAAGTGCCAGACCTGAGACGAGGGGAGAGACCGACACACGGACGATGGGTCAGAGAGACAGAAAGGCAGAGGGAGGAGGGAGAGCGGGGAGAGAGGAGAGGAAGGCTTAGACCGGAGGCAGGGGAAAGGGACGGAGACCGAGCCCCGCACGCCACGCCGGGCGTGGTGACCCGGCCAGGCCGCGCTCAGCCCCACCCCCATGACGTCAACCCACAATGCCCCGCGCTGTTGTGCCATGTAGCGAGCGTCGCCCGTGGCAACAGCGGCCGCAGCAGCCACGGAGCGAGGGCGTCCCGGGCCCCGCCCCTTTATGCAAATCTACGACGTCACCTCGGGCCAATGGCGAACGGGGGCGGTGAGCTCATCGCGGGGGCCGAGGCTATAAGGGTGCGCGCGGGCGTCGCGGGCCAGAGCGGCCGGCAGCGGAGCCGGGCAGCACGGGCAGCGGACGGGGGGGCGCACGGGGCCCCCCGGGGAGGCCGCGGCCACTCCCCCCGCCCCGGGGCCGAGCGCGGCGGGGGAGGCGGGCATGGAAACGCCCTTCTACGGCGAGGAGGCGCTGAGCGGCCTGGCTGCGGGTGCGTCGAGCGTCGCCGGTACTGCTGGGGCCCCCGGCGGTGGTGGCTTCGCGCCCCCGGGCCGCGCGTTCCCCGGGGCGCCCCCGACGAGCAGCATGCTGAAGAAAGACGCGCTGACGCTCAGCCTGGCGGAGCAGGGAGCGGCAGGATTGAAGCCCGGGTCGGCCACTGCACCTTCCGCGCTGCGCCCCGACGGCGCCCCCGACGGGCTGCTGGCGTCGCCGGACCTTGGGCTGCTCAAGCTCGCGTCGCCGGAGCTGGAGAGGCTGATCATCCAATCCAACGGGCTGGTCACCACCACCCCGACCAGCACGCAGTTCCTCTACCCGAAGGTGGCGGCCAGCGAGGAGCAGGAGTTCGCCGAGGGCTTCGTCAAGGCGCTGGAGGACCTACACAAGCAGAGCCAGCTGGGCGCGGCCACCGCGGCCACATCGGGGGCCCCCGCGCCCCCCGCGCCCGGGGACCTGGCGGCCACTCCCGGAGCCACCGAGACCCCCGTCTACGCCAACCTGAGCAGCTTCGCGGGGGGCGCCGGGCCCCCTGGGGGCGCGGCCACCGTGGCCTTCGCCGCGGAGCCAGTGCCCTTCCCGCCGCCCCCAGGCGCGCTCGGGCCGCCGCCACCTCCGCATCCACCGCGCCTGGCCGCCCTCAAGGACGAGCCGCAGACCGTGCCGGACGTCCCGAGCTTCGGCGACAGCCCTCCGCTGTCGCCCATCGACATGGACACGCAGGAACGCATCAAGGCGGAGCGCAAGCGGCTGCGCAACCGCATCGCCGCCTCCAAGTGCCGCAAGCGCAAGCTGGAGCGGATCTCGCGCCTGGAGGAGAAAGTCAAGACCCTCAAAAGCCAGAACACCGAGCTGGCGTCCACCGCCAGCCTGCTGCGCGAGCAGGTGGCGCAGCTCAAACAGAAAGTCCTCAGCCACGTCAACAGTGGCTGCCAGCTGCTGCCCCAGCACCAGGTCCCCGCGTACTGAGCCTGAGCGCGGGGCGCATGCGCGGACTCGCTGCGGTGGGGGGGCGCCCCGGACTCCTTCGAGACTCGGTGCCCCCGGACTCGACAAGCTGGACCCCCCTTAACTCCGGGTGGGGACCCCGAGCGCACGACCCCCGCCCTCGCGCCACTTCTGTCTCCCCAGCCTCGCGCGTGTTGCACAAGCCCGCGCCCCGGCAGCCCCTTTGTGCCGCCGAGGAGGGGCTCCTAGAGGCGCGCAGCCTCCGCTCTGCCTTTCTTTCCTTTTTTGTTTTTTTGGTTTTTTTTTTTCCCTTTTGGAAGAGAGAACGGGAGTGTCCGATTCCGCCCTATTTATGTTTCTACTCGGGAACAAACGTTGGTTGCGTGTTGCGTGTGTGTTTCCTTGTGTTGGTTTTTTAAAGAAACGGGAAGAAGAAAAAAAAAACTCCTCCCCTTCCCCTCCCCCTCCGCGCTCCCTCCTCCTCCCCCTCCTCCCGACACTATCCCCCTCTTTTTGTTTGGTTTTGTTTTGCTGCGAGTCCACATTCCTGTTCCGTAATTCTTGGTTCGCCGGTTTTGTGTTTTCAGTAAAGTCTTCGTTACGCCAGCTTGGCTGTCCGCCTCCTTCTTCCCCCGCCGGGGCCGGCGGTGGGCGGGGCCTGGCCCGCTCCCATCCCCCAGCCCTTCCCTCCCCCATCTCCCCGGCGGGGCGTGGGCGCGGGCCCGGACTGCTCATCTGCGGGGCGAGCGCCACCTAGGTGCCGGCTGTCGGCTCCGGCCTCGGTGGCTCCGGGACGCTGGGCTGGCTCCTGGGCTAGCCTGTGCCGCTGGGCTGGCTCCTGGGCTAGCCTGTGCCGCGAAGCCCGTCCGTGCTTTCGGGGGGAGGGTGACCAAGGGGAAGAGGAGGAGGCGCTCACGCGCCTGTCTCACCCCTGGGGCCTCGGTTCCCGGTCGGAGCTTTGATTCGCCTTTGTTGATTTCGGGGTACCTCAGGCCAGGAGGGGAGGCGGCGGCCTGGAGTCCTGGGGGTGCATTTAAACATCCCCCCGACTCGCCCCCTCTCCGACGGCTCCTGCCCTCCCGTTGGAGGAAACTTCAGCCGTGTTGAGCGCTTGGCTTGGTCACTCCACGTCTTTATTTCGGTTTTTGAGACAGGGTCGTTCTGTACAGTCCTGGCCGCCCTGGAACTCGCTCTGTAGACCAAGCAGGCCTGAGACTGCCAGCGAGCCTCCTGCCTCTGCCTCTGCCTCCTGAAGGCTGGCTAAAGGCCTGCCCGCACTCCCAGCGAGTCTCCTGCCTCTGCCTCCTGAAGGCTGGGTAAAGGCCTGCCCGCACTCCCAGTGAGTCTTTACTGGCCGTGCGGGATGGAGCGCCTCAGACCCGGGGCACACGAGGCAAGGCCCCCCTTCAAGTCAGCCGCAGCCTCTGCCTGGTCACAGGCCAAGCAGGGAGGGCGGACCCTAGGGCCCCAACCGCCAAGCTGTGCACTTTCCTGTCAGCCCTGGCCATTGCTGGTGACACCCTGTGTCCTGGGGTCCCCTCAGGATGTCAGCATGGGGGCTAAGGTCACGGGTAAGTCCTAGTGGGGGGCATGTGTCCAAGATCACCCCTAAGCCAGTGGGCACTGCCCCCTTGGCTACAGAAGGGGCTTTCTCTCCTGCTGTTCTGCCTGCCCCAACCCACCTGCCCACCCTGAACAGCGCTGTTTTTAAGCCCAGCTTGGTGATGCTGGTCACCCCAGCATTTTCCAGGCTGAGGCAGGGGGTCATACAGCCTGGGCTACAGGGGGAGACCCTGTCTGGGAAAACAAAGGGCAGTAATGACAGGAACTTGAGCTAGTGCTGGAATGACAAGCTGGGTTCGTGTAGTGTGGGGTGGACCCGGCCTTTGTCCATGCGGGCGGGCATCCTCCTGAGCCGAAGCCGGAGTCCAGCTTGGGGACCATTTGTAGGACTCACAGACTCTTTCTTTGCGGGCCTCCATCGTGACGCTACGGAACGGGAGTGTCCTGGTCCTGGTTCTGCCTTCCCCATCCCTTTCAGAACGGACCAAGGTTAGTGTGCGGCCTGCCTGTCACAGAAACGAGGCTTGGAGCCCGCCTCACGCAGCGCAGTAGGAATCTGAACCCCCCCTTGGCCTTTGCAATGCTGGGCTGCTGGGCACCGCCAAGTCGACTCTGTTCCTGCTTCTGTAGTGCTGGATGGAGCTCAGGTCTTTATAAGGACTTGTCCTGTTGTGTGAGACAAGGTACCACCATGTAGCCCAGGCTGGCCTGGAACTCACAGCGATCCACCTGTCTCTGCCTCCCCAGTGCCGGGAATAAAGGCGTGTGCCGCCACCACGGCCGCTGAGGCGGTGTTGATGTTGGGAGTGTTTTTCTAGTCAGCTGATCTGAGCCAGCTGGGTACTGCAGCCTGCGATTAGGCACTCAGGATGGAGGCAGCAGGAGGTCATGAGTTCCAGGCCAGCCTGGGCTGCATGGGGAGCCCCTGTCTCAACACACCAAGGACTTTGCCAGAGTGTGTGCCAAGGGAGACATTTCTATTCTCAAGCACTGAGAGGCTGGGTCTGCAATTCAAGTCCATATAGAGATGTGAGCCTCAGTTTCCTGGTCTGTCACACAGGCTAAGGTTGCCATACCAAAGCTCCCAAGGAGACCGAATGGGCTCACCAGAGTGCTCAGAAGAGCTAAAGGTGGGGTGGGCACAGGGTCTCCTTTCGTCCAGGCTGGACAGCCCTGCAGTCCTCCGACAGCCCCTTGGCCGGGCTAAGTGGTTCTGGCTCGAGCGTGCTGTGCACAGGCCAAGGTGTGTGTCAGCCTTGGCCTGTGTAGCTGTGACTCACGCTGGGTGCTAGCCCAGACTGGGGAGGTGGCCAGAGACTCCACCTACCGCCTCCCAGAGACATGGCTCTCAGTCCATGCCTACTTTTGTTTGTGTTTTCGTTTGTTTCTACACAGGGTCTCCCTATGTAGCCCAGGCTGGCCGGGAACTGTTTGTAGAGTCCCAGCCTGAAACTCCCAGGAGGTGTGTTGACTGCCGTGGGCCATAGAGGCTTCCCATGTGTCTTTTCATGCCCCACAGGGATGCCTCTAGAATATTTTTTTTAAGATTTATTTATGTATTATGTATACAGTGTTCTGTCTGCATGTAAGTCTGCAGGCCAGAAGAGGGCACCAGATCTCATTACAGATGATTGTGAGCCACCATGTGGTTGCTGGGAATTGAACTCAGGACCTCTGGAAGAGCAGTCAGTGCTCTTCACCTCTGAGCCATCTCTCCAGCCCGCCTCTAGGCTATCTTGTGGGCCCGGCAGATACTTCAGGGGGTGACAGACCTCCGTCAGGATACAACAAGGGGAGAGGTTGGGGTCACCTGTGTGCCCTAAGTTTTGGTAGAGGTTGTAGCCATCGTGACAGCCCAGACCCTCCTCTCCTCTCCTGCCAGGGGCCCAGCTCTGCCTTCTAGAACCTCCCCTCCACTCTGCTGGGGATTGGTCGGAACTCAGCCACGAGTCATAAAGACATTTGGGTACCAGGGTCCCGAGGCTGGCCAGTGGGGCTGGTGGCTTCCGCTCTGGGGACAGGTGAGTGGGTTGGTGGGGTGCCACACATCTGTCACCCCGCTCTTGCCAAGAACATCTGTGTCCTCTGGGCTGTGGTAGCTCAGCCCCTCAGAGACAGTTAGGGTCCCCCAAGCCTTGGTGGTCCTTTGCCTCTTGGGCACCAACCCTGTGAGCCGAGGTAAGATGTGCTTCCCCGTGTGGCTAACGGAAACACCAGCCCTCAGATGTGCTCACAGCTGTCCCCAGCCTGCTGTGGTGCCCTCCATCCCTCCAGTCCTGTTTCTCAATTCCCTTCTTCTGTACCCTCACCAGGTCTTGGGTCAAATGGAGGTTTTTGTGGTTGTTTTTGTTTTTAAATAGGGTCTCGTGTAGCTCAGGCTAGCCTTGAGCTCACTAGGTGAGGATGAGCATGATTTTTTTTTATTCTCCTGCCTCCACCTCCTGTGTGCTAGGCTGGCAATCATGCATTACCACCAATACCCAGCTTTGTAGCCCAAGCCGTCCTGGAACTGACAACAATCCTCCTGCCTCAGATACCCACATACCTGATTTTATGGGGTGCTAGAGATGGAACATGTAACCTCTCACCCTCATCAGGGCTCTGCTACCTGAGCGCCAGGCCACATGCTCGCCCCTGCTCCCCAGTTCTCAGGGTCTGACCCCGCTTCCTGGGCATGAGCTTCCTGTGCAGTGTCATGCCCGTCACCGGCTGTGGTGACAATTACTGATTGTGAGCCCGCCCACAGCCCCTCCCCGCATGCTGGGGCGTCGCAGGCGGCCTCCCACAGAGGAGTGTTCTTTTGGATCAAGAGGGCAGTCTGGGTTGCAGAGTGCACAGAATGGAGGCGCAGCTGCTGACCCCATGCTGGCGCAGGGTTCACGCCAGGGGTGTCTTGAGGGCCTGGGGGGCACCGTGACCACTCCAGGACTGAGGACACCCCTGGAACCTGTCCCGAAGGTGAGGGCTGGTGGTCACCCTTGCTGAGTGGACTCAGTGAGCCGGGCTCTGCCGTGGACCCTGTAGTGACCGTGGACAGGTAACGCCAATGTTTGACTCAGTTTCTTTTCTTTTATTTTCATCAGACAGGGTGCCATTATGTCAGCCAGGCTGGCCTCGAACTCACAGAAAGCTGCCTGCCTCTGCCTCCCGAGTTCAGGGATCAAAGGCGTGCGCTATCACATGCCCCGCACTTACTGTTTCTCGAGACAGGGTCTCACTGGCCTGTGGCTCACTGAGTCATCAAGGCAGGGTGGCCAGAGAGCCCTTGGGACCCTGCCTGTGCCTCCCAGCACCCGCTTATAAACATAAGCCTCAGCACCCACAGCGGGGGGGGGGGCCTCAGTCCGCTGTTCCCAGCACCCACAGCAGGGGGGGCTCAGTCCGCTGTTCCCAGCACCCACAGCGGGGGGGGGGGCTCAGTCCGCTGTTCCCAGCACCCACAGCAGGTGGGGCTCAGTCTGCTGTTCCCAGCACCCACAGCAGGTGGAGGGCTCAGTCCGCTGTTCCCAGCACCCACAGCAGGTTGGGGGGGGCTCAGCCCGCTGTTCCCAGCACCCACAGCAGGTGGGGCTCACTGCCTGTGACTTCAGCTCAGGAGCTCCCTTCAGCCCTCCAAGGGCGCCTGTGTGCACACAGCATCATCTACCATCAGTGTTTCTATGCTGTGACGAAACTCCATGCCCAGAGCAAATGGGGAAGGAAAGGTCTATTTGGCTCACACTTCCACATCTCTGTCCATCATGGAAGTCAGGACAGGAGCTCACACAGGGCAGGACCTGGAGGATGAGCTGATGCAGAGGCCATGGAGGGTGCTGCTCACAGCTCCCAGGACCACCTGCCCGGGGGTCCTGCTCCACCACCAATCACTGATTAGGAAAATGCCCACAGGCTGACCTCATCGGACACTTTCTCAGTTGGCTCCTGTCTCTCTGATGACTCAAGCTTGTGTCAAGTTGACATAAGCTATCCAGATACACATATAAATAACACTAAAAATATTCTTTAATGAAATCAAATGATAAAACGGGCTGGAGACGACTCCGGATCTAAGCACTGACGGCTTTCCTAGAGAACCCACTTTGATTCCCAGCACCCACATAGGGGTTCACAGCCGTCTCTGACTCCCCCCCTGGGGATCCGACACTCTCTTCTGGCATCCACAGGCATTGCATACACATAATGCACAGACACACAGAGAAAGCGTTCATATACACGAAATTGTAAAAACTAAAACCAACAGGAGGCAGGTGGCATGTGGGGAAGGCTCTGGTTGACAGCAATTGCCTCTCAGTCACAGCCTGAGCAAGTGCGCGTGCCTCTAACTGAAGCACGCACACACGTCACACACGCACACTCACAGATACACATATAAAACAATATTTTAAAAAGATTATAGCCAAACGTGGTGGCGCACGCCTTTAATCCCAGCACTCAGGAGGCAGAGGCAGGCGGATCTCTGGGTTTACGGCCAGCCTGGTCTACAGAACGAGATCCAGGACAGGCTCCAAAGCTACACAGAGGAACCTATATCACAAAGGAAAGAGTTAAACCCCTCCAGCTGTGACTGTGGGTTAGTCTGCTTGTGTCTTCAGTCCTGCCGGGTTTTGCTGCCAGGTCTGGTGTGTCTATTGTCGATTTGTCTTCCGATTGTGTCTCTTCTGTGGACACAGCCGAGAACTCTCCACCCTTGGCCTGGTGTATTTGTCTCGACTTATTTACATTCAACTCATCCAAGTCTTTGTGTTTAAAGTGCATATTTAGAGGGCTGGAGAGATGGCCCAGTGGTTAAGAGCACTTACTATTCTTCCAGAGGACCCAGGTTCAATTCCCAGCATCCACATGGGGTCTCACAGCTGTCTGTAACTCCAAGATCAGACACCTTTACACAGACATACAGGCAGGCAAAGCGCCAGTGCACATAAAATAAACATAAATACATTTTAGCCATGTGGTGGAGTCCAGGACAGCTAAGGCTACACAGAGAAGCCCTGTCTCAAACACCAGTAAGTATATTTTTTAAAGGTTCATATTTGGTAGTAAAATTAAGTTAGGATCACTTGACTATCATTTATCCATGTAGACAGGGTCTTATTCTGTAGCCCAGCCCGGCCTTAAATGAGCACCGATTCACCTGCCTTTGCCTCCGGGTGTGGACTAAGAGTGTGCTCCCAGGACTAGTCTAGTTTGTTATTGTTGTTCTGTTTTCCCTTTTTTATGTGTATAGGTGCGTTACCTGCGTGTGTGTCTGTACCACATGTGTGTCTGGTGCCTGCTGAGGCCAGAAGAGGCGTCATATCTGCTGAGACTGGAGTTTGGGACGGTTGTGAATTGTCACGTGGGTGCTGGGAGCCGAACCCAGGTCCTCTGCAAGAGTCACAAGTGCTGCTAACCACTGAGCCGTCTCTCCGCCACTGACCTAATTTTTTTTTTTTGTTTGTTTGTTTGTTTTTCGAGACAGGGTTTCGCTGCGTAGCTTTGCGCCTTTCCTGGATCTCACTCTGTAGCCCAGGCTGGCCTCGAACTCACGGAGATCCTCCTGCCTCTGCCTCCCGAGTGCTGGGATTAAAGGCGTGCGCCACCACCGCCCGGCTAATTTTTTTTTAAGTGATGAGTATTAATTTGTGTATGGGGTGCGTGTGCCGGGAGTACATGCGGACGTAGAAGGTAACTTGCAGGAGCTGCTTACCTCCTCCCACTCGGGAGGCTCTGGGGTTGAACTTGGGTCCAGCCAGGCCAGTTCCTCCCACGCGGAGCCATCTTGCTGCTGTAGACTGCACTTCCGGCTGACTGGTGTGCTGAGTGTGTGCCCCGATGTGTGGCTCTGTTCTCACCCTTCTAAGACATGGACCCCACAACCCCACGTGTCCTTGGGACCCTCCTAACCCCTGTTACATAAATGTGCAGGTGTTAACTGCCCGGTGACACTGACCTCCTCCCCAGGCACCCCCATCCGGCCTCCTCCCCCCCCCCTCCTGCTCCATCCTCCTGTGGCCGAGTCCATACCCCTCCTCCCGCCGGTGTTTCTGACAGAACCAGCCCAGAGAGCTGCTGTGCACGTTTCTTGGAATGAAGAACTGAAGCGGCCTCCTCATACAGGCTGACTTCCAAGATTACGCCTTCTTCTGTTCCTTTTCCAACTCTATGACCTTCCGAGGTAAGGCGCTGGCCGGGCCTGCCTGGGGCCTCGGCCGCACAGTATAGTTGTCCCTCTGCACCTGCTGTCTGTCTGTCCTGCAGAACCACGGGGATCTGGATTGTAAGCTCTCGAGTCTCCCCTCACAGGGACCCCCGTGTGTCACCCCCGTGTGTCACGCCCGTGTGTCACACACCCACCCACTGCTCACCCATCCTTCCTTCCATCACATTTCCACTGTGCACCCAGCCCCGCCCACTCACCCACCTGTCTGTCTGTCCATCCCCCC